GCTAAACCACTAATCCACTAAACAAGAGTCTTAGCTCCACTAATGCTAAACCACTAATCCACTAAACAAAAATCTTAGCTCCACTAATGCTAAACCACTAATCCACTAAACAAGAGTCTTAGCTCTGCTAATGCAAAACCACTAATCTAATCTCTAATCCTGTTTTAAGTCTTCTATTGGTTTAATTTGAAGGTGGGCGGGATCATTTGTGGCAAATTGGCCAAACCAACCAGTGTTATAGCTCTGTCTATCTTGTGATACTTTTATCTTTTTTGGAATAAAAGCATTCCAAACAAGAGGTGGTGGCACGGTGGCTCAGTTAGTAGAGCTGATGCTTCTCAACAAGGTTGCTGGTTCAAATCCCAGCCCAGAGACCTTTCTGGATAGAGTTTAYATGTTCTTTCTGTGCCTACGTGGGTTCTCTTCATGTACTCCGGCGTCCTCCCTCACACCAAAAACACGACTGTTAGGTTAACYGGTAACTCTAAATTGTCTCAAGGTGAGAATGAATGGTTGTTTGTCTCTAGATGTGTCCCTGTGATGGACTTGTGACCTGTCCAGGGTGTCCCTCACACTGCTGGATATGGGCACCAGTGACCCCCGCAACCCTGAAAGCACAAAGTGTGTATAGAAAATGGATGGATGGAATAAAAGCATTTCTTTTATCCAGTTTGTATTATTATAAACACAGTTTGAAGTTAGTCAAACAACAAATAATTTCTCTACTATATTTTAAACATTTTGTATTTTTCATTTAAATATTGTTTTATCTCTTCTTGATGCTCTTTGTTTGAAGTTTAGCTGCTAAAGATGCTACATGCAGACACACGATGCCTGACACGTCCAGCAATGCTTGTGAGAGGGGATAGTTTTTATTAAACTCGGGATAAATGACAGAAAAACAGAAGTTTTGCACTTGCTAATTTTTTAGTGGACTTAAAATTAGCGAAAAAATTAGCGGAACATAATTTAGCGGAAGCTAATTGGTCCATTGACGAAAGTTAGCAAAAAACTAAGCCTCTAAGTGAGAAGCTAGTTTCGCAACTATCAAATTAGTGGAACTGTGCCCTCCACTGCTTTTAAAATCTTTCAAAGTCATCTTGACCAAAAGTTCTCCAGACCCTCTGAAGGTCTTTTAGAGTTTTTCCTCAGACTTTGGCTGCTTTCTCTACTTCTAATTCTTTGTTTCCTGCTGAAGTTTGCGAAGGCACTGAGACTTTTTGGAGAAGACACATCCAAACCACAACCAGATGACTTCTTCGGCGTCTTCAGCACGTTCCTCTTCATGTACTCCGAGGCCCGGCAGGACAACGCGGACATGATCCGACGGCAGGAGGAGGAGGAGAAACGGGTGCTCAAGGAGTCTCAGGTCAGAACCGAGCACCGATGAGCCTTACGGTCCCGGGCACCTTCTGTGGTCCTGAYCCCTGTGTTTCTGCCCGCAGATGAGGAAGGAACGAGAGCAGAGGATGAGGAAGGCCATGGTGAACGATGAAGAGGAGGGCGGGGAGTTCGACGACCTGGTGTCGGCCCTGCGCTCGGGCGAAGTGTTCGAAAGTCTGTCCAAGCAGAGCAACAGGAAGCAACGCAGACACAACGGGGTCGAGAGCAGCCGAGAAAGACCGGCGCGGAAACTGAACCAGTACTAGGACAGACCACTAACCTGGACCAGTACTGGGACCATTGGTGACCCACAACAGCTCAGTGGGTCTGAAAAACCAAACCTCACCAGATAAACAACACATCACAGATACAGAAACTCTAAACTGACACAATCTGCATCACAAACACCAGACCCGGGTATATGGGATAAACGTTGTGCCAGCAGGAACTGAATCTGAATTGCTCAGATTGAATCTGAATGTGCAGAATTTGAAATTGAATGCATTGGTTTGAAAATAAATTTGACTAAATTTAAAGTTTTGTATCTGAATTAATTTTCTTTGAAACTGTATTTTGGTTTATTAAAAACTCAGTTTGACTACTTTCACTTTCAGTTCCATAATTCAGATTTTTGTGTCACATCCTGGTCCTTGAGAAAGCCAGGCAGAGTAATCAAACACAGATCCACAGATTTATGTTTCACTTTGGAGAAGTCATGGATCACATATTGATCAGATGCTGCTGCTGACTGATCCATGATGTCATCATGTAAATGTAACATTTTCTACATAT